TAGTACACTGAAAGTACGAGTCGGCTATGCCGGCTGGTATACATAGCATATGCCGGAAAGCTTCCAAATTTTTGTGCCTATCCAAGAGGCCATGCTCTCGATCAATTAATTTGTTAGCGTACTTCTAAGAGAAGAGAATCATATTCTGCTTTAACCACGCACTTTCTCACGTCATTCGCCGGTTAGCACCGTGAAGTGACTCTATGTGAATCTGTTGGAGTGTCATCTGTTTTTAGAAGTGTGCTATTAAGGTTGTATGCTGTGCAGGAGAGGAAGGGAACAACGAAGTGATCGGAAAGCAAGTGTTTGTGGGAAGGTAAGTCTAAAATATTCCGCATGAGAGAGTGTCGCTTGGGTCCACTATTCATTCTCGCGGAACCGGGATGCCAGCTAGTCTCATATGAAAGTGATGTATCATAGACAAAGAAAGTGATGAAAGTAGAGGAAAAACACAGAAGAAACAACAAAAATGCAGTCGTTCTGGGGTTTTTTGCAACCACGAAATGCAAATTCGTGCTTATTATCAAATTCAAGGAATTTTATACCTCACAAGCTGGCTTACCCGGCTCCGCCCGGCCCTGTCAAAACAATAATAATGATCTCATTCGTATCCCTTACAACCTCTCACTCTGCCCAAGTCTACATGTCAGTTTCCCATTCCCCCTGTAGTGATCAGCATGCTCGATTGCCAGCGGGGCAGAGTTGGCCGAGAGTTTAGTGCCCTCGACTACGGCGAGGAAGGTCACAGGTTCGGTTTCGCGGCGGGCCTAATTTCTTTGGCAAAGCTCTTGCCCCACGAATCCAGCGTCAGGCTGCTTAACCAAGAGGAAGCAGGCGACAAGCCGGCTGAAGAAGAAACTCCGTCGCATCAAATGCTCTTTTATGTCTCAACAGAATTCTCGTATAAAAGCTAGGGCGTTCCCCGGAGGCGGCGCACATTCGAGCCCGACGAATATGGACAGTAGGCAAGGGTTACCGTCTCAGCAAGATGAGCGGGGATGGCTAAAAAAGGTAGCTCATCACAGGAAAGCATCCAAGTTCTCGGCATTACGTCTAGTTACTATCAAATTCGGTTCACTCACAGCTCGACATCGCGATCTAGCCGATCTTCTCAGAAGACGTAGAGTAGACTTCGCATGTATTCAGGAAACCAAATGGAAGGGTGAAAAGGCTAGTGACATCGGAGATGGCTACAAGCTTCTGTACAAAGGAACGACGAACAACAGGAACGGTGCCGGCAGTCATCTCTGAAACTCTAAGAGATAAGATTACCAGTGTAGATAGAATGAGTGACCGCCTCATGAGCTTAAGATTGGCTACCGGGAGAAAAGTGCTTCGAGCAGTAACGTCCTACGCACCGCAAGTGGGATGTGAAAAAGCGAAGAAGGAAGAATCCTGGCAGCTGCTTGATGAACGTCAGTTCAATACCAGAAGAAGAGATGTTACTGATCGGTGCGGATCTCAATGGGCATGTCGGAGAACAACGAAGTGGTCTACAGTGCCATGGAAATCACGGTTACGGAACACGTAACGACGAAGGAGAACGTATTCTGGAGTTCGCTACAGCCCACGACCTACCTTGGCAAGTGGAGACAACAAATCGTAGATAGACTTTTGGAGCGTACGGTACAACGAGCTCAAGTATGTGAAAGATAGCAAAGTCATCCCAGGTGAAGAATGCGTGCCACAACATTGGCCACTGATACTGGATCTCAATATCCCAGTCGACAGGAGAAGAAGGGCGATGACCGAACCAGAAGTACAAATCAAATGGTGGAAGCTTGAAGACAACGCCCGAAGCAGAACGTCAATGGAATCTGCCCTGCCGATACTGCAAAGTGATCCAAACCACTCCTGGATGCTTCTGAAGGACAACATCCATCAGACAGCTGGCGACCTGCTAGGCCGCACGAAGCGGAAGACGAGGCTTGAGAAGGAAACATGGTGGTGGTGGAATGACGAAGTGCAGATCGCGGTCAAAAACAAGAAGTCAGCATACAGAACATGACAGAAGACAAGATCGGAAGAAGCTCACCAAAGCTAGAAGCGAAACGAGAAGCCAAGAGAAGTGTCAGAGAAGCAAAACAAGCATGTAGCCGAGTTGTACAGGAAGCTGATAGACTTCGATAGACTTCAGGAAGCTGATAGACTCCGATAGACTTCTTACAGAAATCCGATAGACTTCTCGTTCGCGAAAGCGAACGAGAAGTCTATCGGATCGCCAGAAGAAGAGCAAACGCTACAAAAGACATCGAATACTTCTACAACATCAAGGATGCACACGGATGAATGCTGAGGAAGCCACAGGAGATAAACGAAAGATGGAGAACTTACTTCTCAGAGATGGCGTCCGCTAACTCCGAAACACGAGTCCACCATAACAGCCGACCCTGTGAATGGACCAGTACCAGCGATCACAGAAGTTGAAGTCCGTACCGCCATAATGAAGATGAAGAACGGCAAAGCAGCAGGTCCAGAGGACATCCTCAGCACTTCTGGAAGAAGTGTGGACAAGCTGGAATCCCGTGGCTTACAAGACTTCTGAACCAGATAATAGAATCCGGGGAATATGCCAGACGAGTGGTACAGAAGCACGACAGTACCAATATGGAAGAACAAAGGCGACATAGCCGATTGCTCCACATACAGACCATTCGACTCATGTGCCATACGTTGAAGATCTTCGAAAGAATACTGGAGATGCGGTTTCGAGGTATCATACAATTGGCCCCCCACCAATGCGGCTTCGTCTCAGATAATCGCCGGGAGCAGGCGGCCATGCCATTTTTGGGCAAGCGGGCACCGGAAAAATAGTTCGCTGATTTCTTGCGGTCCGCTTGCAGATATTTGGAAGAATTTTAGCGAAATTTTGAACGAATGCTTGAAGAACAATTGCGGTTTCCTTACAGATTAGCTGCGGCGCAGTGGCCGCATTCTCGCGGACTTTCCGCGAAAATATGCAAAATTTTTGAGGGCCGCACGGTCCTTTGTGGAGGACCGCGCAACCCCCAGGTACTTTCCGCTGAGAGAAAGTACCTCAAACTTGAGTAATTAAACCATCGATGACTCCTCTGCCATGTAGAGTCTCGCCTTTGCACGGCGTACACCCGAAACTGCTTGAAAGCCGTCCGAGCGCCAGCTGAAAATTTGACCAGCGCTCGCTGAAAGAGATTATTTGACGAGCGCCTGCAGAAAATTCTGTGTTGCTGCCCGCTGGCAGAAAATTAGACAGTAAAGAAAGTGCCGCCCACTGAAGGTTTGGCCACGCCCCAAAATTCTGCTGAGCGCCTGCAGAAAAACGCGAGTTTGCGGACCGCCTGCCCCCGGCGATTGTCTGAGGTAAAGAAATGCATTACAACCGATGCCATCCACACAGTCAGAATAATGATAGAAAGAAGCAGGGAAAACCAATGTGAGCTTCATGCGGCAGTCCTCGATCTGGAGTAAGCGTTCGATAGAGTGAACCATCACCGAATATGGTGGGCACTACGGAAGCACGAGGTACCAGAAGAATACGTCCGCTGGATCAGAATGATATACAAAGGAGCCACCAGTCACGTACGAACGGCAGCGGGACGCTCAGACGACTTCCAGATAAAAGCCAGCGTGCATCAAGATTCCGTACTGTCGCCGCTACTCTTCATCACAGTCGTGGACAGGATAGTAAGAAACTTCATACGCCCACCCATGGTCCGTCATGTACGCAGACGATGTGATCCTGATGGCGAGAAGCAGGAGAGAATTGGAGTTGATGTACACGTGGAAAACTCAACTCGAGCTACATGGACTGAAGATCAGTACCGCGAAGGCAGAACATGGAGCTGGGACCTCAAACGCCAGGAACGATCAAGCTCGCAGACACGGCAATCAAAACGACCACGTCGTTCAAGTACTTGGGAAGTAGTATATTAGCAGATGGTTCACTTCACGACGAGACAAACGGCCGATTAAACGCAGCTTGGATGAAATGGAGGAACCTCACAGGAATTCTGTGCGACAAACGGATGCCAAGCTGAAGTCACAAATGTATCACAACCGAAATGCAAGCTGGCCGGCATGCAATGAACTCGTATCAGTTGTCTCGTCGCGATTCAGTCGCGACGATCAAATCGCGTAAAGTCTGCCCGGGGCCTAATCCGTCCAACCGCGTTATATTAAGGGAATGCTGGCCAAGCACACGTAACGACGAGCGGAAGCTTGGTGTGATGGAAACACGTATGCTTCGATGGGCGATGGGCGTAACGATGCTCGACCACGTCACGAACGATAGAATACGATCCACAATGCAAGTAGCTTCGATAGTCAAGAAGCTGCAAGAAAAACGACTTTGATGGTACGGGCACGTGAGAAGACGAGAAGAAGAACACATCACAAGGTTAGCAATGTCAGTGGAGGAACCCGGGAAAAGACCACGAGGAAGACCAAAGCTAAGATGGACTGATCGAGTGAAAGCAGACTTGAGAGAGCTTGGATTAGATGAACGACATGTCGTAGATCGAGAAAAATGGAAGGGACTGACAAGAGCGGCAGATCTCGTGTAGGGACAGATGCAAGGATTTAAAAAATGCTCGATTGTCCCTCCCCTTCCCTATGCCAACCCCCGATCCCGTAGCTCAAACTTTGCAAAACATCGATAAAAATCGATAAAATCGACATCGATAGGTAACGAAGTAGCCTATGGCACTCTCCCGGCCTCGAAGTGTATGTCTGCCAAGTTTGGTGCAGATCGGTTCAGAAATGGAATTTTCTATTCGAAACATACGTACATGCATGACAGACAGGCAGACAGTCAGACATACAGACATACAAACAGACAATGAGCTTTATATATAAGAGGTTAACTAGTTTGCTGCGTTTCTAATTAGCATCTTACAATGAGAAACTTGGCTATGGAATTCAGAGTTGCAAAACCCTAAAAATGTTGTCAACTAAAATGCAGCTTGTATCAAAAAGACAGGGACTTTTAGCAAATTGTCGAGTGTGCAGAAAACAAGACATACCGGGTGGTCAGCTTTTCGTTGTTCTTTTGATAGGCTTTTTGGTAAAGACTAAACTTGCCACGTTGTTAAATGATGACTACGACTGCATTAGCGCTTACCTTGACCTCACGAGACGGTGTATTCCTCGCAGGAACCTCGCGAGATTCTTTTTTATTTAGAGTCACTTTGCTATTTTTGCTAGCTTTTAGAGCCACCTTGCTATTTTTGTTTTTCAAAACAATCTTGCTGTTACGAGGATTAATTTTGTTGACAGCGGTTTTCTTGATTTTTTCCAAGGTCAAAGCTTCCTTCGAAACCTTTGCCGTATCTTGTCCTTCTTCCACAGAACAACTTTTATGGGTTCCTTTTTTTCTTAAGCGCAACGTCGGCCGCTTCTTCCTTCTTTTCTTTGCAGCGACTTTCAAGGGTTGTTCTTCTTCTGTTGCTGACGCAGATGTCCTGTGTACTTTGTTCATGACTTTTAGAGATAACCTTCAGTGTATAAATGTGCGTTAAGAAAATTGCCGTTGATAAGACATTCTCTTTGAAAGCAAAGATTTGCTTTTGATTTCAACAACCTGATTTGGACAGCAAGCTCTATCAGATAGTAACATGCTTACAGGAAGAGGCTAACAAGCCATTTTTAAGCCAGCCATGTAAACGTTATGGACAGTTGGAATATTGCCAAATCGCGTCGCGATTGAAGTCGCGCGAAGTATGCCCGGCCCTTAAGCCATTCTTATCTACAACCTTAGGAGAAGATTGCGCGTGGGACAAGGGTCAACATGACTGCCATCTCATCTCCATTACGTCTCCTTCCGTAGAGCAGAGTTAGTCGTTGAAGGTTAGTGCTCTAAGCTAACGCTGTGAAAACCGCAAGTTTGTGTTCTATGTGAGCTTTACAGTCGCAAACATTCTGCTCACAAAACCAGCATCAGGCTACTCTTCCAAAAATGTGCATGAAACGAGCCGGCTGAGAAGCATCTCATCACAGCAATCAGGCTGGACAGATGTTTTGAAGTATCTCGAGCAGAGTCGAGGAAGAGATATGGCGCATGATCACCATAATACGACCCTCTCCCCCCCCCCCCCCAGAGTGTGTTTCAGGAGACCTCTGAATTACCGATTACCTACCGCCTACCGTCAGTGAGGAGAAGCCCTAACAAACATAAAGAGTATCATTTTGGTGATAAGCATGTCAAATAACTCCAATTGACCGCATTACAAGTTTGAAATTTTTGAAGGCAGCGTCCGGGCAGATATGAAATTGTAGCCTAACGGGCTCCCGCCCTGATAAAGCTCGTGCTGAAGTGGCATTCTACTTTGCTTCTGAAGCGGGAAAACCGCTTTCAAAAGTGGCGATCGGAACGCCCCGACAACCCCACCCTTCAATCGATAGTCAGGTACGTATGCGCACACAGTCAAAACGTAGGGTCCCATCACGATTCTTAACTTCGGAGGCAAGCGGCCATATTCAAAATCAACTTGACAGCTTCTGGAGGAGTGTGGTGCGGAAGGCGACAATCCTCAAGTTTTGTGCCTTTCAAACCTCGTCGGTGCTAAAGTGGCACGGGGCCAAGGTAGGGGGGTGGGGGGTGGGGGCAGATACATGACTCGATGTCACAAGTGAAATTCCGTAAAAATTAGTAAGAGCGATTTTACACTGCTTGCATTCTCGCGCATTGTCGCCTTCCGCGTGCCCCCCCCCCCTTCTGGAGTGGCCCCCAAGCTCTGCAAGCTGCATTTTCGGAATTAGCGGGAGGAATAAGCCAGGTAAGCGGAAAAAATTTTGCTCGAAATTTTGCCCGGACGCTGCCTTCGAGTGCTGAGCCACTCAGTTAGAATGTTCATTTTAAAGGTCGAATAGGCTCGTTACTTCATTATTCATTCGTTACTTTCCTCTTTTTGCACTGATCAAACAACTATTCCTTGTTAGCACAATAGGAATTCAACTTCATCTCTCAAGAGCTCAGCCAGAATCTCTTCCATCTCATCCTTTGCATTATACTATCAGTGAACATTACTCGGATGAATAGAAACGCGGGTTCAAACTGTTTATTTAAAATCTAACAATGTGTAAGAGATCTCTGCTAAATGTGCTCGGCGAAATCTCTTAACAAAAATGTTGGGATGTGGAACAACTCAAAAGTTGTGGCTGCCATGTCGAAACGCAGACTAAGAGATGGTCCGACAGTCCTCAACCCAACTGGGCGGTGCCCAGCAACTCCAGATGAGCTGTGCCTAACCGGGTGACCGGCGGTTACCCTTCCCCCTTCCTTATCTTACAAATATATAATAAAGATTCTAGTCATAAATGTTATGTTCATATTAAGTAAGACAATCAGGGTGAAGGAATCAAGTCAGGAGAGTGCACCTCCTGGACTTGACAGCCACATCTTTTGGGGTTTAACACACATCCCAGCATTTACAGTAAATTTATATATAATTCGACAGCCTAAACCTCGCAGTTATGAAAAAAATGATCTGAACCTGATTCGTCTTTATTCGTTTAACAAGGAAATGGTCAGAAATCGAAATGGCCAATCCAAGCAGATTGCGTGCCATTAGATGCAGCACAAAACACTGACTCTAAATCTGTATTCCATATCTGCTTAGCGCTTATGTGGGTGAAGTTATGAGCCGAACAGCCGTTATTTTGCTACGAAATCGTGCATGCAAAGCGCAAATTTGGCAGTACAAGGCCATGTTCGGCTTAATGCTGGGCCAAAACATGCAGCTAGGTTAGGTTACTTCATATCCTCAAAGCTTAAAGGTGTGCTGGAAGTGCAACAATGTATTTCGCATTTTTTATATACCATTTTCTCGCAGTGAACCGCTCATAACTTCATCCACAAAAGCGCCAAGCAGATATGGAATACAGATTCGAAATCAGCGTTGAATGCTGCATCGAATAGTAGGCAGCTTGCTTGAAATGGCTCCCTCGACTTTTGACCAGTTCCTTGTAAGTAGTGATTGCTGAAATCAACTAATGGGAAGGAAGATTGGATAAAAAAATTTTAGCTGCGCTCCTAACCCCACAGTTTGGCCTCATTTGAAGGACTCCCAACTGCGCTAATACGAGTACTTCTTTGCGTCAGTGCAAAAGAGGCAGCTACTTTTTTATTGTTCTTGTTTATTGTTTATCGTTATACACAAAAGTGCGCCAAAAAATTAAACGAAAACAAATCATCCAAAAAGTATGCAAAAAATTATCCAAAAATCATACAAAAAATCGTAGATGTCGAAGATCATAGTTTCCTTGCTGGAAGGACGAGGTCGTTCTCCTTCTTCAAGAAGTGAGTATGCCTCTACCGAGTTCCTTTTCCCTTGCCCGGACGCAGTATGGAAAGGCAGAAGATACCAGGGCTTGGCTGACCAACTCAACCCGGGACGGACGAATCCGTTAGGGATCCTGGGCGAACAGGAAGGGGGATCTCTAAGCAGAGGGCTCACTGGTCGTTGATCTCCTCGAACGGCTTTTCCAAGCAGGATAGCTCTTTGAGGCTTGCAAAATGGAGAAGAAGCTAAAATAGCTGCGAAATCACAACTTCTAATTTTCTCCTGAGATGAACTCGACATGCATGGCTTAATCTACAAAGCATATGGCGTTGACACAACTGATCAGGTATTTGCGCGTGAGGAGCCGCACAGGACGGCCAAGCAGGGCATCGAGCCCCGTTCGCGATTGCAATAGCGAATCTATAGCAAATCTATAGCAAACACATACGAATGAGAGTGTACAGCACCCGAAAAACGTATGTTGGGATTTTGCAAGAAAAAATTAAAAATAGAACATTTTTATAGAATGGGTAGAATTAGCAACCTTTTTTTTGAGGGAAAAAAACACCAAAAATCAGTATAAATTTCTTTCGAAAGCCAGAAAAGCCAAAAAAGCCACATGTGTGCTATTCTTTACACATCTGTGATGTGTAAAGAATAGCACACATGTGGCTTTAGTTGTATAAGCCGCATTTTCCAAAATTTTCAGCGCTCTGCCGCTTCACTGTGTTTCGGGAAGCGATCCTTATGCCGTACTTTCTTTCAGGCAATACGAAGCACAGTAACGGTCATTTGGTCGCAAAGCTCGTTGCCGTGGTCGGTTTTAGAAAAAATCCTGCGGCTTGTACACCTATGCACACTTATACACCTATACACCAGAAAATAGGGTAACTCATCTCTAAGGCCTAAGGCATACCTCTCGCGATTTCGCGAAGTCGCCACATCCTCGCGACTTGGCGATTTGCCAGATATCTAGAGATTAAGCATGCGAGGCTCTCAGATGCATGGGTGCGTAGATTCCGTTGATTGTAACAAACACAGCAAGTCTGGCCCAAGCAAAGTGCGTTTACGACCAGCTATGGAGAGTCGTTGCAGTGCCAAAGCGCGCGGCGACTAAAATCGCGTGAGGTATGCCTTAGGCCTAAGGCAGGTCGTAGCGACTGGCGATCGTCAATATCGGCGACTACACGTTTAATAGGTATCGATTAGCGACTGGCGATCGTCAATATCGGCGACTACACGTTTAATACGTATCGATTAGCGACTGGCGATCGCCAATATCGGCGACAAAAATTGAAGGTTTTACATATTTGATGCATATCGATCGTCGCCATGCTATACTCCTCAAGGAGTATAGCGCCTGCCTAAGACAAAGTTAACGTTAGTTACTATCATCTTATATATAAAGCTGAATGTCTGTTTGTCTGTCTGTATGTCTGTCTGTATGTCTGTCTGTACGTATGTTCCGAATAGAAAATTCCATTTCTGAACCGATCCGGACCAAACTTGGCACACATACACTACGGGCCCCGGCGGGTGTCATAGGCTACTTTTCGTCATCGATTGATATCGATTTTATCGATTTTTTGCAAAATTTGAGCTACAGGGCTGGAATTTGGCAGAGGGTTGTAATCGAGCATGCTGATCACCCCCATGGGGGTGATCAGCATGCTCGATTAAGCCAGCTAGTAACTTATAATGAAGGGCTAAGGATGTTTACATGTCTTTGTGTGTATGTGTAAGTCTGTCTGTCTTCGAAATTCGTAGAGCGTGTTCCAGCCAATCTTCTGAGCCCAAATTTTGCATAGCGCATATTGCCCACATGGAAGTCCTCTATGCAAAAGCACGAGCACATCCCTTGGGTGGATCCCTCAAAAACTGCGCGTCAAACGGATACACTTAAATTCTGGCCAGCAAAATTGTGCCTGTAGCACCCTTTTTGCGAAGTCATGGATATGTTTGACAAGTTAATGTGCAAGCCAAGGACTTTAACCTAAAAAAGTGGACTCAAGTTATTACTTAACGAAAACGACGCCAAAAAGGATTGGTTGGTGCATGTTCGATTTGTAAAGATTTCACTTGATCATCTGAGAATATTTTTGCACAGAAATGTAGTCCACGATGATTATTACCTTATGGCTACTCCAAGCCATAAAATTTCAAAAACCGATCCAAATTTG